ACTCCCAGAACCCCTTCACCATTCAGGGCACAGAGTGGACCAGATATGTTTTGTGAAAAAGACTGCTGGCTATAGCAACCCTACCTGATCTGTAGCAGAAGTTGTTAAGTCAGAAGTGAATGAGGGAGGCAAGTGCATTAAGGCAAAAGGATGATTTCATTGTTAAGATAGTTGAAGGCTACCCTGGCCTCCTAGATTCTTTTGCTGCCTTGCCTATAGAAATCCTACTTGATGCTAGGCAAGTGACTTAAAATTTCTCACAGATCACTCACAGGTGCCTCCTAATAATGTCTTCAGAGCAAGGTGTAAATACACTGAAGTAAAGGCCTACAATCAGGCTTCAAATAATGACGAAAAAGCAAAATATTTAATATTTTGTATATGTGAGCTGAACACTGCACAGCCTGTGCACTGAATGAGGCATGGTCTTACAGGAAAAAAAATGTGATCATGTAGCCAAAAATGCTATCATATAAAGGAGATAAATCAAGATTGCAACTTTCATTTTGGTATTTTCTAACTTTTGAGTTTGCAACTTAGCAACTTTAATAATGTTCTTTTAATGTAGCTTTCTGGGCTTAATAATACAAAATATGCCTACTTAATTGGTTTGCTTGCCAGAGAACAATTGATGGATTAATGGCACACGCAGTTGTGGAAAGCCCATGGCACACCATCTATGCTGACTGCTACTCTATTTACAATAGTTAACAGGTGTGAATTGCTGTTTATTAGCATTAATTTCCCATTGTGCAACCATTTGTTCAGGCTCTTTTCATTTACTACTGTTACACTAAGCAATCAAACCTTTTTTCAGTGGGCTTGACCAAAAGTCCATTGAAGACAATGGGAGTTTTACACTGATTTCAATGGACTTTGCAATCAGTAATGGCTATATTTCGTTACACTTTAGACCACAATTCAGCAAGATAATTTGGCACATGCATAACTTTGGAAACTAATGGTATTATTATTATTCCTGAAGCTAAGCCTCTGCTTAAATATATTGGTGAATCAGTTTACCTTCACTAACAACAAAGTAAGGAGACATCAGTGGCAATAGCCAAAGATAGAAGTTGCATATATCACTGGGTACTAGTGCTGGTTAGACAGAGAAACAAGTAGGAAGGAGGTGGGAGGATGTTAATGTGTCAATTTGCTAGGTTAAGATCACAACTTCTAGCCATTCCAAGAGAAAGAGGTTCTACTTTCAGCCTGTAAAAAGTTCTTATTATTCTCTCCCCCTCCCGCCCCCATGTCCATCAGTGCTCCAGAGGACAATAATGCTTGTTCACAAGGTTTCTAGCAAGCAATATGTCAAGGCTAACTCACAGGGGAGAGGTTACACAGCTCAATACTAGAAGTATCTTGCAAATGACCTCTGATATACCAATTGTATCTTGTGTATTGTACGGAAGTACAGGATAGCATTTAACTCAAGCTCATTACCACCAACCTCTTTGCCAATAGTAAATGCACTCTAGTTTACATAGCAGGACACAGTGTACACTACAAAAGTAAATTCTCTTTTTTCAGTGATTCTGGTCCAGTGTTCAATATAGAATCAATCCTGCAAAGCTTAACCTGCATGAATAATCCCATGTTGTTTTCAGTTGTGTTCTCATTTATAGACTATTCACGGCATAAGGGCCTCCAAATTTTTATTCCTATTCTTATATTCAGAAAAGCACACAACCTTATGGGTGCCCCTTAATATCAAAGCTCACAAGCTCTTATACAGAGATTCTGTTACCATAAAATGCTAAATTTTTTTCTGGAGTGGTTTGACCTATCTCTGTGTAACCTCTACTTCTTCAAATTTGCAAAAGTTAGCTATTTTTTTGATTTACCACCTTTCTGGTGTTATCAACTGCCTTTTGTTATTTGGCATACTTCCAAACTCATCTGGATAGTAGCACGGACCAAGTGATCTTGGCATCTGGAAGCATGTCTCAAAAAAGCTAAATCCTTTTTTTTTACTGAGATTATCAGTTCAAGCTTCCAATACTCCAAATCATTTCCTCCTGCACAAAGACACCCAGATGACCTGATGTGTTTTGTTCATTGTGTTATGTTTGACCTCATTGTTTTACAACCAGCGTTTTCTATCTACAGCGGTGATTGGAAATGGCTTTGATGGCATGATATCTGAGAATTAGCAAGTTACAGGATAGGACAAATGAGACAATCTGATCCTCACTAATGCCTCTTGGACAGCCAAATTAGAAATAAAATATCCCAATTTCCTCTGAGCAATACTAAAATACCGGATTATTCACAAAACCTTCCTGTCCAATTAAAAAATGAAGTTCATCTGCCATCTCTTGATAGGATTCTACTGTTAGCATATCTGTGGCCACACAGTGACTGCAGTTCATAGTATCAAATGAAGCAGTGTGTTGCCCCTGTGAATAAGTTAGTCTCTAAGGTGTCACCCCACCTACCTGACTTCAGGTCAACACAGCTAACCACTTCTCTGACTACAACATTGATTTTGTAGACAAATATGTTCATATTAGGATTTACATATTGTTGCCATCTTAAGAAAAATAATTGATATTTTGTTATAGTAATCACCCTTTGACATACTGGGCATGTCTACATGTGCATATTAATGCAATGCAATAAACCCCAGCGCATATCCTGCCAGAGTTTATTGCTCCGGACCATGTGCACTCGAAATTGCAACACATTGAGCTGGGTCAGAGCAGCAGCCCTGGCTGGAAGGAGGTCGGGGGGCGGAGGGGGTTAGTCGGCCAGCCCGGGGCTGTTTCCATCTGACTCAATGTGCTGCAGAGGGGCTGGCTGTGGCCCCAGGTTGTTCCAGTGTGGATCTAGCTCATAGGCAGCCCTTGCACTGAAGCACCCTTGTGCCCCAGCCAGCAGCATCAGCATCTACACATGTAGTGCTGCAGAGTAAAAAGTACTGTATTTATAAGAACTACCCTGCTGCAGAGGTTATTAGTTTACTCCAGCCTAATTTAAGCCCTGCATGTGTAGATGCTGAGATGTTTACTGCAGAGCTAATTAGTCTGCTCTTCAGTAAACATCTCATGTAGCTGGACCCATTGATAGAACACTGCCCTCCTCATCAAACCCTAGAGAATCTGCAAGCATTTCATCTTACATCGAATCATAGGAAAGTAGGACTGGAAGGGCAAGGTCATCTAGTCCAGCCCTTGCTCAAGCAGAAGCATTCCTGACTAAATCATCTGTCCAACCTACTCCTGAAAACTTCCAAGGATGGAAATATCACAGCTTCTCTAGGTGGCCTGTTCCAATGTTTGACAACTCTCATAGAAAGTTCCTCCTAATTTCCAACCCAAATTTCCTCTGCTACAGCTTGAGGCCATTGCTCCTAATCGTGTCCCCTATGGCCACAGAGAAAAGCCCATATCCATTCTTTCTGTAATTGCCTGTGAGGTATTTGACAACTGTCATTAAATCTCTCCTCAGTCTTTTCTTTGCCAAACTAAATAATTCTGATTCTTTCAGCATTTCTTCATAAGTCTTGTTTCCCAATCCTCTAAACATTTTTGTCTGCTTCTTTCCAAACTGTCCATATACTTCTTAAAATATGGGGCTCATAACTGGACACAGGACTGCAGGTAAGACCTCACAAGTGCTGAATAGTAAAAGAACTGCTTCTCTTGATTTGCAAGTTCCACTCCGATTAATATAACTCAGTATGCTGTTGGGTTTATTTGAAACAAAGTATGTTGCTCATATGCACTAGGGCTGTGCAAAGCTTTGGTCGCCAATTCAATTCAGCAGAGATTCGGCCCAATTCAGCAGCCAAATTTCTGAATCCAAATCAAAACAGGAGACCCTTCAATCTCTCCGAATCATGTCGGAACCCTCCAAATTGATTCAGAGAGATTCAACGATTTGGACATAGGCACAGCTTTATATGTTTTTCTACATACCTCAAGGTACCAGGAAGCTCATTAACACTGAGATGCTGGGGGAGATGGAGCTTCACATGGGAGTGGGGGGGGAGGGGTCCCAGTGCACTGAGTGGTGGACCTGGAAGTGGACCAGAAGCATTTCTGGTCCACTTCTGGGTCCACCGTGGAGCACACAGAGGACTCCTCCATCCCCCAGCTCTGCAACTGGTGCCTCCTGGGTCTAGGGGGCACCCGGGGTCCCCCTGTAGCCAATTGCCAAGCTGGGGGGGCACAGGGGGTTGTCCCTTATACACTCATCAGCAGACCCAGAAGTGGACCAGAAGTACTTTTTAGAACCACTTCCAAGTCCACTGCCAAGCACGCGGGGGTGGGGGAGAGAGACTCACTCCTGTGGGACATGCCATCCGCCCCACCATCGCAGCGTTCATGAGCCACATGGTATCTCGAGGTATGTAGAAAAACATTTAAAGATGTGTCTATGGCTGAATCTCTGATTCTCCAAATCAGAATCAAATCTTCAGATTCTGCCAAAGCAAACCGGGACAGTGATCTGAATCAACAAATTGAATCACTGTCCCCCAAATTGGGCAGCAGCCAAATTAAATACAGCCCACTTTGCACACCACCAATATGCACCTTATTATTTACTGTAACTTCCAGGTCCTTCACTGTAGTAGTGCAACCTAGCCAGTCATTCCCCAGTCTGTAGCTGTTCATGGAATTAGTCTAAGTGCAGAACTTTGCACTTACCCCTACTGAATCTCATCTTATTGATGATGGATCATTTTTCCACTCTATCCAGGTCATTCTGGATCTTAGCCCTGCCCCTCTAACTCCTCCCAACTTTGTGTCATCCACAAATATGCGTAAGTTCTCTTATTCAAGCATTCTCTTACCACCTATCTTATGATTCTTCAAAGGTATCATACACATTCCTTAGAACAACATGCATCTTCACTTCTATAATGGTCTCCATTAAGCTTTAATCAGGGACCAAGAGAAATCGCACATTTCTTGCCCCAAAATAGGAACTGCTGCTGGTAGACAGGGACTCTGTCATTCAAAAGAGATCATCAATCTTGGCGTATTAACTGACCTGCTGAGAGAAAATGAGCTTCTTTCTTGAGATTTCCCAATTCTGATGTGATCACCAACACTGATTTTTAGGTCACCAAACAAGCTTACCAAAAAACATGATTTCCACTAGTAATGTGCGCTCCAGGTAGTCAGAAGTTTCATCAAGGTTGTTCACACTAATAACTCTATTATGCCAGTCGTCCTGCTCTTTAACCTGTTTTTCTTCTTGCAAGTGAAAAGTCTGCTATTCTTCTATGCCTTAAGCACACTTGGAACTACAGCTCTCTTGCATAATGAACATGCCTTCCGTTGCCAAGGTTCTAAAAACATTTGGGCACAGGTGTTGGTTCCTTGTCAGCCTCCAGGGCCAATAAATGGAATCTCTGCAATGTAAAATGAGACAATACATCCACAATGTCATTATGTTTTCCCAGAACATGCTTAGCTCTAAACTAAATGTGTTTCAAGCCTTATAACACCCTATATTCATAAGGCTCATTACTGTTTTTAATTTTGCTTGCTGCTTATTTACTGTCTCCTCTCCTGCTTTACTGCCATAGTGAAACTGTTGTTAATTGATACCCCCAAATGGAAAGAGACAAAAAAGAGAGCAATTCCAGAAATGTTTGGTCTCTAACTAATCCCACCATGAGGTTTGCTGCTGCCAAGATGGCACCACATTAAAAGGTTAAAAGAACTTCTTCCAAATTTCTGTATCCTCTTTAATCTCTCTTGTCAATCTTGCAAAGTGGCTTTTTGGCAGCGGAAGTGGCCATCTCTATCCTGTGACAAAATACTTTTGACAGAAGATAAGAACTTACAAGCAAAATTATGATGTCTCTCTAATGACTGCAGCTGCCTTAGCATTATTTTCATAGAAACAAAGACCTTTTGATGGATGATAAGTAGTGAAACTTTTCCCTTATATCAGAATCCCATATTCCCCCAAACAACAAGATTTTCAACAGACACTCAGACTTTAAATTTACAGAGGAGACTCTCCCTGTGACTCTCTTCTAATTTCTGAATAATACTTCCCTAAAGACTCAGTGTCCCAGTGCCTGTGTGTAGCTCAGTGGCTTGACTCAGTTTTGTTATTGTTAATGAATCATCTTCTACTAATATTGAAGAATCGTTGCTGTTCCTTGAAAATCCTGCTGAATGTCCCTCAAGCTGCTTGCCTATTGCAATGCAACCTGTATCTGTCTTCATTGATAGTGCTGCTAGCCTACATCTGTCAAGCTACACAGATGCTCAGTTGCCTATGTCTCAGAGCACTTAAAGAAACCTGGTCTGTTCTCATACAGGGTCTAATCTCCTGAAACTATAAAGCCTCCTAATGATCTAGGTGAAATGTGACCTAGGCATAAGGTTTTCTTTATCTTGTATTGTAAATACATGTTTCTAATATTGGTATTAATTTTAGTTTGCTATGAGTACAAAAAATAGAATAAAGCAGCAGAGATTGTCAAGCTGTATTGCATGACAGCAGACATCAAATTAGGAAGGAAACTTTGTGGGCAAAGAAGAAAAAGTACAAAGAGAATAAACTAGCATACAAATATTTCACATTCTAATAAAAACAAGACATTTTAAAACTGACCATTTTAGGCTGGAAGACAAAGAACAAAAGATCTATTTTCATGGTATATATGAAAATATATATACACACATATATTGATTGTATAAAAATACCATGTTGTTTGCAGCATGCTGTTTGTTAGTCTTACTTTTACATGTATAGCAGTTTGCTTATATAGCTATTCTCGGTATAGTTTGCACAACTAATCATCTGATAGATATTAACTCAGATGTGTGGAAGTCAAGTTCATTCTGCAGTTAAAACATAGTGATTGTCAGAGCATATAGTCAGACTGTGATATGAAAGCTGGAACTGGGACTCAGTGAACATATCTCCACTCTTAGAAGGGAGCACATTTCAATTCATGAGGAACCAAGTAGGATTTAAACTGATGGTTTGCAAGTGAAGGGCTCTATAGCATATTAACAGTGACCCAGGGCATGTACCTTCCTCTCATAAGCATTCATGATTTTTTGTTAAATCTTCACAAACTGGGCCTTTCTTGCAAAATCTTCCATATGTTGCTATCCATTTAAAACACTCTGTCCTGACACCTCACCCTTCAGAACAACTATGGGACTGGGGAGCGGAAATGCTGTTATGGTTTATTCTATACAGGGAGTCATCCCATGTGCTTGGGAGACAGCTCTTACAGTACTAGTCTTGCTAGACACTGGCTGGCTCTGTTAAATGCATTAAACCCCTCATATGCCACGTTCCTGTTAAGAAACCATGCAACAATATGGGTACGATTTGCTTCTTATGTTAGAAACCTGGACTCTGTTTCAGTTCTATCTGATATGATTTGGGCAAGCACTCAGTTACCTTAACTTTGAAACAGGTGATCAACAGCAATCTCCCCTCTCCTAACATATACAACATTATGATAATAACCTATGATAATAAAGATTATGAATAGCCCAGAAACATTAATCTCAGATAGTGGAAGAGATGGATGAGAATTCAGTCTCAGGCTTGCAGGTAAGTACAGTTTTCTCTAGGACATAGGGTGCAGTTTATGAAATAATCACTTTGTTTCCTAAAACTGACTTGAAACTCACTAGTATTTTCATGTCCCTATGAGATGACCTGCAGGAAGGGCCAAAATTGCATCACTGTGATAAATACTGTAAACTGGGGTTGTCATTAAGCTGCTCTGATACAATGCAAAGGAATCTGCGCTGCACTGAGGTTATTCCAGAACTGAGATAGTCTAAGCCATTTTTTGCATAAGCACAGCTTGACCTGTACTATGTGCAGATAACCGCTACTTAGGATTGAAAAGTTCCATGCCAACAAAAACTTAGCCAGCAAAATGACACAGTAAAACAAATACAATCAACTAATAACAACAAAAAATGCTATATGGTTACCCCATTTCCTTTACAAGAAAACAATCAATTTAACAAAGAAACAAAATCAATGAAATATCATCCATTCCCCAGCCACCACTTGCTTTCTTCCCTGAACTCTGGATCTTTTCATTCTGTCATGTAACACATAAATGACAACCAAAAGGTCAGGAACAATGGTCACACCTCTCTTCTTCTCCCCTCCCTCAGGAGTGAAACCAATGAAAAAGATTTCTAAGGGTAAATGCATACAAATCACATGTACTTGGCTGTCTCAGGGAATTTTCAATTTGAATCTTATTGATAAAATGAACAAATGCTGAAAATGTCCTATAAACAGAATGCACAATGAACTGTTGATACGGTGTTTATCCTTAACCCGCAAGACAGACTGATTTCACTTTAGGCTTCACCACTCGGCAATCATTGAGCTCTTTTCATACAGCCAAGATAACTAGTGTATCTCACAATAGCATGTATTGTATGCAGACAGAATAAATGACAGTTTAGGGCTGATATAATTTTTATCTTCATGAGTGAGGAAGTTAACTTGTAAGCAGCACAGTTGTGATTTCTGCTTCCTAGCAAAGATAAACGTCATATCAGACCCACAACATCATGTATTTTCTACACATACGTAAGCACATGCACAGATACTTTCTTTATACATGTGTGCACAGAAATCCAATTGGTTGCTCTTTATTTGAGCTCTATTTCTCTTACCTAAAGCATATTTTTAGTATAATAATTTGAAATGCTTGCTACTGAATTTCTCTATCTACAGTTACCTTGCAACACTGAGATGCCTGAGAATTTTCCTCTACCTAAACCCCTGTTGTTTCTCAGTTTTTAATGCCATTATATAGCAACTAAGACTAAACAGTGACTTTTTTTTTTGGTAGCCACTGTATTTGACATAATTCAATATTGCAACAACTGTATCAGCTCCAGGTAGCAGGAGACCAATAGAATTTAAATCATTTGGAAATCCTCTCTTCCAAGTGAAATGAGGTTTAGGATTTTAATTTTTTTTAAAGAAGAAAATGTAGGACTGCAATGGTATAAACAGTAAACTTGCTTTTTTTGCAGAATGAGCAAAAAAAAAACCCCAAACCTCAAAATCAATATCTTCATCAGACATTTTTCACTATAAAGAAAATAAATTTGAGTAGTACCTTATTTCTGAAAAATCAGTATTGCATTGTTTTTCCTTTTAATTATGTAGCTTCAAGAAAATATTGTTAAAATTAACTGATAAGAACAGCAATCTTTTTAAAAAGTGATACAATGTTATAAAGCCTTCCTAAAGGAATACAGTGCATGGTGCCTTTTATACAAGATCAGCTGTACGTACTGATTGTTCACAGGTTTTAATTCCGATTCTATTAACATGAATGGAAGTTTATTCATCAGCTTCAGTGGGAGTAAGATCTGTCCCTTTAAGATATCTTTACAAAAATTATGGAAAATAATAAACTTAGGAAGGATGTGAAAAACAGTTCTAGTAGCAAGGTTAATGTTTTTAAAGAAATCTCCACTGTAATGCCAGTATATTGACAAAATCACAGACCACACTACTAACAATAGTCAAATAGCAAGAAGCAAGGCATGCAAGGATTTTAATACCACATTTTCAGTTATTACTATAAAATTGTAATTAGGTAGTAAATTACAATGTTAATATTCACTTTGAACAAATAAGTGTTTGTAGTAGTAGAATTGGGCATTATTATGGTAGCATAGGGACCTATTCACCAAGCGAGGCATAGACTTTCTTCATAAAAGTTACTCTCCCCATTTTGTAGAGTTTGTTCTTATAAACTTTACTTGCATGAAAGATTATCTTTTTACATGTAGTATTTGCTGAAGCCATCTTTGCCCATATAGACATCTCTATTTCCCTGGTATCACAATCTGGTATCAGAAACTATTATTTTCAAAAAAAGTGGAAAGATATTTTTTTAATTATACTAAAAACCCAAACTGGTAATTCACATAGGAACTCCAGCCTTAAAAGAAGAATTTACAACACTATAGTAATTGTGGGAAACAATGTACACATCAACGATGCCTCAGTCACTGCGTATATGCAACTAGTGCCTGAAGAAGAGGCTCCTGCATCCACTGGGAATTGCCCTACTCCCATGTTGGAAAGTCCCCATTTCTAGTAGTGCACAAATAAGAGGCAGCAGATGAATATCACACCTAAATATAGAAATCTCTTTTTTGTCAATGGCACAGGACTGAAGCTTGTTTTTTTGGACCTTCACCCAGTAATCCTACATTTGGCAGCAAGAGGAGGAAACATCTCTGGGACAGGCTGATTTTAAAACTTTGGTGATTGATTAAATCTGCTCAAGAGTTTGGAACATTAAAATAAGTCCCAGGAGAGATGGATTAGTGGGCAGAGGGCAGGTAAAGCTGACAAAGGTTCATGATAAGTTCATTT